AAAAAAAAAAAAAAAAGAACTCTCTATTCAATACGAATAAGTAAATGAATAGATAAATGAATAATATAAAAACAAGAAGTCCCTCCCTAACTCACAGGATGGTTATAGAGATCCCATGAGAACACAACAGAGCAGGCTCAGTGCAGGGGCTCACATTTGTAATCCTAGCCCTCTGGGAGGCCAACACGGGTAGATTACCTGAGCTTAGGAGTTCAAGACCAACCTGAGCAAAAATATCTCTACCAAAAATTAAAAAAAAAGAAATAGCCAGCATTATGGTGGATGCCTATAGTCTCAGCTACTTTGGAGGCTGAGGCAAGAGGATTACCTGATTGAGGTTGCTGTGAGCTACAGTGATGCCTCAATACTCCACCCAGGGCAACAGAGTGAGACTGTCTCAAAACAAAAAAACAAAAACAACCCCCCCCCAAAAAAAAACTCAACAGAGCAGCAAGCAAACCAATTATAAATATTACATATTATATGACATATCCGTAACAGTAAATCTATAGAGACAGAAAGATTAGTAGTTGCCAGGGGCTGGCTGGGGAAAGTGTCTGCGAATGGGTACAAAGTTTCCTTTTGGGATCATGACAATTTTCTGGAACTAGAGATGTGATGGTTGCACATTGTGAATGTGCTAAATGCACTGAATTGCTTACCTTAAAGTGGTCAAGGTTATATTATGTTATGTGAATTTCATCTAGAAAATGTTATATAGCCAGGCGCAGTGGCTCACACCTGTAATCCTAGCACTCCGGGAGGTCGAGGTGGGTGGATAGCCTGAGCTCACAGGTTTGAGACCAGCCTGAGCCAGAGCAAGACTGCATCTCTAAAAATAGCCGGGCACCTATTGTGGTGGGTACCTATAGTCCCAGCTACTCAGGAGACTGAGACAAGGGGATCGTTTGAGCCCAAGAGTTTGAGGTTGCTGTGAGTTATGGTGCCAGGGCAGACTGAGGGTGACAAAGCAAGACTCTGTCTCAAAAAAAAAAAAAAAGAAACCAGGCAGTGCCCGTAGCTCTGCGGGTACGGC